TCTTCCTCAAGCTTAATTTGCAATAAATAACCATACAATTTTTTAATCACCTTTTCATCAGTACCCATCAAAATCTTATCCAAGTCAGTTTGCTTATCATAAAATCCCTCTGCTTTGGAATCCTCATAGTACTTTGAATATATTTGCAAATATGAAAACCAATTCATCCGTATACCTTGTTCTTCCAATTTTTGCATCGATTTAAGTTCACCCTTTTCATCTAATAATTCCCCATAGTTAACTGTTTGTTCCTTTTTATAGATTATAGGGTAAGAAAACGCTTCTATCGTCGATAACCAAACTGGAATTTTCAAATAACACTGTTTTTTTATCTTCTCCCAATTCAACCACAGAGACTCCCGTATATAATGCCTTCTAAAATACCCCTGTGTTTTAGTTCCCTTGTACCATAAAAAAGCATGCCAGCCCAACAACAAATCATGACCTTCTAATGTCAACAATCTGGTTTTCCTTAATGTTATCCATTCTTTAACCCACGTCAAGTTTGCAGCTTGGTAGTACAACTCCCAATTAGGCAGTCCAAACCCTCCTCTAAATCTAGCATCCTGTAAAAGCTTTAACTTTATTCTTGCTTTCTTACCTTGCCATATATACTTCAAAACAATTTTATTTAAATCCTCAAAATATTCTTTTCCAAGCCTAATTGGTATTGTTTGAAACAAAAATAAGACTCTGGGTAAAATATTCATCTTAATTGTTGAAATCCTTCCTATTAATGACAATTGTAAGTTCTCCCATTTTTTCAAGTCTTGAGCTATCTGTTGTTTAAGTTTAATATAATTATTCTCCTTCAATGTACTACATCTTGATGTCAAATATATCCCCAGATACTTAACCTTGTTTGTAACTTGAATTTTTAACAGTTCTGCCAACTCTTCCCTTTGTTTCAGCAACATATTCTTTGACAAAATCTTTGTTTTATCTCTATTTATTTTCAAACCAGCCACCTCCCCATAGACCTCTATCTTTTCCAACAGTTTCGAGGCTGTTTCTATAGGGTCTTCCAAGATAAAGACTAGGTCATCTGCAAAGGCTTGTAGTTTAAATTCTTCCTTTTTAATTTTCATTCCTTTTATCGTTTTATCTTCTCTGATATTTCTATTCAACACTTCCAAAGTCAATACAAATATCAAGGGAGAAAGAGGACAACCTTGTCTTGTGCCTTTTCTTATATTAATAGGATCTGTAAATTCTCCCTCCATCATTACCTTAGCTGTTTGTTCATTATAAATTGCTTCTATTGCCTGAATAAATCTTCTAGCAAAGCCCATCTGTTCCATTAAAAGTAACATAAATCTCCAATTCACGTTATCAAATGCCTTTTGAGCATCTAAAAATATCAAAGCCATTTGCTTTTCAGGATGTGCCTCATAGTATTCCAGGGTGTCCAGAATTACTCTCATATTGTCTCTGATTTGTCGCTTTGGCAAAAACCCATTTTGGTCTGGGTGGATAAAGTTATTCAAGTACTTTTTAAGTCTTTCTGCTAATATTGAAGCAAAAATTTTATAATCTGCATTTAGTAAAGAAATCGGTCTATAATTCTTGATTTGCAGTAGGTCCGCCTCCTCTTTTGGAATAAGTGTAATGTAAGCCTCTGACCATGTTTTAGGTATCATCTTTTTTAACATAACTTCATTCATAACTTCTAACAGTGGAATACACAGTGATTCTTGAAAGATTTTATAAAATTCTACAGGAAACCCGTCTGGACCTGGTGCCTTTCCATTATTTTGTTTCTTAAGTGCTTGACTT